TGAAAACGACGCTGGGTTCCTCCACGGCAGCGAATAGTGCCCGGTGTGTACCGAAACGTGGTGGAGGCGCCCGAATCTCCTTTAGCGTTTGTTTCTTATTTCTCATTCAGGATCTGTGGTTGCCTATTTTACGTCTGCAAAGTTTCTTCTTTATCTTGGACATGCACTGTCCACTTGGGTAAGTAAAATATTGCCCTGGTAGAAGTAGGATTTTATTAATCTAGCTATGATTTACCTGAACATTATTGGTACTTTCCAAAAAAGCTTCACGAAATAGCACGCCACCACAAAGACAGAGGTCTCGTTACAACACCTTGCTGTTAAAAGTCTTCATAATCTTTACATTAATATGTTGCAGTAGATTCAGTTTTCATTAGTGCAGCGTAGTGCAGTGCTCGATTTCCTGAGGGCCTGGTTCTGTACCTCTTTATGCTTTTAAGTAACTACAGAACCAGTGAGACTCCTTATAGAGTAAGTTCTGAGTGAAAGAAATGAAGGATAGTCCCTAGCAGAGTGAAAGGCAGTCGGTTGCAACATGTATCTGAAGGACTTGCATACTTGGGACACTAATGGGAAATATTCAACATTTACAATGGACCCATTGCTGCCACTCATTAGCAAACCTGTTGAGAGTGTCAGGAGATGTCTCTCTTTCTGTCAAAACGTTTGTTTTCTGAAATGCTTTCCTTCTGTACTAAAGTAACTTATTGCACCAGTTTTTACTCACTTGAAAGAGAGTAGAAAAATCTTAAAATATGCACTAGGAATAGACAATCTGGTTTTATTCCATGTAATAAAATTAAGAATATGTGTATCTTATAATACAATCCGAAGTCTCCATCCAATAGCTTGATTCAAAAAGAAGTGGAAAGCTTCCTCCCTACTATTCCCTGTTTTGTCTTTAGTCCTGGATTTGGACTGGTTTAATGTGTGCTTTGTATAGCATTGAACAAATGGCTGATATACAGTTACAACATCGCATGCCGAACTCTGGCAGCTCCTCGCTTCCACTAACCTGAAAGGTCATACTGATGTTTCTGTTAATGGGAGAAGGCTTGGAGTGGTATCAAATGCTTGTTGAAACAAGTGCAATATTGTAGCAAGTATTAATACTGTGGAAGGAGCTGGGAGGTGATGTTTCTGTTTGGCTCATGGCTTTTCAGAGGCTAGGGTCGTTACCTGCAACAGTTTTTGTCAGTAATGCCCACAAAGTGCCTAACTGGCAAGTCGGCCAACCCTGCTTACTCCTCCCTGACGAGTGCTTCAAAGCTCGGCAGTGGGACTGCTCTCGGTACGTGAGTAAAGGTGACAAAGCAGAGTTTGAAAACAATGTTGCACACCATAACGAACATTAGGCTGCAAGATGTCTTTTCAGGTGTTTAGCAGTATTAATGGTATATACTCCTTGTTCCAATGTGTTCTCTTTTGTGCTGAAAATCTTGACTCAAAAAAGCCCAACCAAACCTGCTGAAACAACAGAAATACAGCTTATTTTGACAGAACTGGGTGCAGGACTGCACCTTTTGTATCTCCTAAGCTTTACTGTTCTGTAGTCTGAATGTTTTTGCTAACAGGAACAATAAACAAGCACTTTAATCTTCAGAACTCAAAGTAATATATCATCTTTGTTCTAAAATGGCTACGTCCAAAATACAAAACCGATAGAAAGGTGGTTTTGCTGTAATTGAGAGCGCTAATTTGGTTTCTGTGTTACTAAGCCATTCCCAAATACAGACAGAAGCTGTAAATGATTAAATGTGTCACATCTCCACAAATGTTCAGATTTGAACAAAGTCTAGACTATGCCTTAGGCTCTTGCTCAGTAAAGCGTTTGAATGTGTGCTTGGCCTCAGTGATCTTAATAGGCTGGGCTGCACTGCTGAACTGGAGTCTCAGACCTTATGCTATTGCCATTATGTTTTTAATTCATTGCTGTCTATCACTCGGCAGTAAACAACAGAATGAAACTGGGTCCTCCTTGTTGGTGCCAGGCCTAATGCTTGCCGGGAGGTCAGTTGCAACTTCCCAGCCTTATCTGTGCCACTCGGACCTGAGGAGGCCTGTCAGTAGGTAGTAGCCTGGCTGCTGCTTGACTTGTGGGCTTCAGTTCTGAGATGGGATTGTATACATTCAATCTGAGATGATTATAAGGATAATCATAATGACAGAAGAGCAAGAACCATCCTTGAAAGGATGGTGAGGCTAAACAGCTGTAGTTATTTATTTAAAAGAGTTGAAATATACACAGTTTGAGACATTTTAAAGTGGGATTAAGTATATATGATCAAGGCTTTGCTCATTTCTGAAGGCAGTGTTTACTGTTTATTTAAATTTCAGTAGGTCTTAGCTTGAAATTACATACCTGCTTCAAACCTCTGTAATTCACTAATATTGTTCTTCTGTGATGCTAATTTATCTTTGCTTGCTCTTTATGGTTTTTAATTCTTGAAAGAAACTCATGCTTCTAGGTTGGAACAGCTTTAGTTACCCAAAAATTATCTGTGTGGATTGGCCTGATCAAAATACTCTGGGTAAAGTGTTGGATAAGGTTGAACAGAGTTCACGGGCTCCTTAAATGAATTGTATAGCAAAATCATGATCTCACTGGAGTTAAAGGAATCTTCCTGTGAGTTTCAAGTGAAAACAGGTTTTTCACTCTGACAGTAGCGCCTGCCACCAACTTTCACATACTTAAATTTTTCTTAAAATGCCTTTTTCATCTTGTCAGAATTCAGTTACTGAAACATCTCTGCATAAAGAAAAAAACCCAAACTTCTGTTATGAAATTTTAATGTGAAAGTACTCTTTTGGCTTATTTTTCTAGCTTAATAAACAGTTACCCAGGCTAATTGAAACTTAGTTAATCCACCTGCATGTATTTTAAGTGAAATTCAGTAAAGAGGTACCTCAGGCCATATTAAGTTTAAGTGAATGCTAGACTTGGGAAATTATATCCCTGTGTTTTCATTGCTGGAATACTTTCTATATACTTCTCCTAACTATGGAATAAAAGTGGAACATATTTTGCAGAAGACTTTAGGTGTCTCTGGAGAGTGAAAATTGGTTTATTATATACGAGAGGGCACATTGAAGCATTGAGGCTTATATTTGCATTTTTTCATTGGTTTTAGTTAGAAAACATACAAAATACCCAGAGTTTTTCCTTGAACAGGTGAAATTTTGTTCCCACATAGTTGCGATGTAATTATTTTTCTGCCTATGGTTAAGGAAACAAATATGAATGTTTACACATTACAATGTTTGAAGAAATCTCTTTCAGAGAACTTCAGTAACATTAAAAGGCGAATTCTTTTAGTGTGTCTGTATTACATTGAGGACTTTAATCAAACTGCGGTTATTTTGACGCTCCAAATAGCATGCTTTTTATGTACCTCTTGGTTGCTGTGTTACACGATACGTTAGATTTGGCAGACTTCGCTTTTTAAAAGTGTTTTTATGTTACACCTCCCCCAACACTAAAGGGGGATATATTTGAGGTCCTTAGAAATTTGTACCGTTTGCTATATCACATAACAATTGCTTATTTAAGATAAGGCAGCAGAATAAAACAGTTTTATATTTGGTTTATAGAAGACTAACATTAGGGACCTTTATTAAACAAGCTGTGTGCCCTAGAATAGTATGAATGATTTCTATTCATCTGCTTTGTTATTGATTACATAAAGCATTTTCTGTAGTGCATTTCTTGCAATATGTTTACAAATAAATTGAGATATGATTCCTATCATGTGACAACATAAAAACCTCGATGTATTCAATAGCAAGCCACAGGTCTGTTTGGTAGGAAACCTAAAAATGTTTTGAGTAGTATGAAAATTACTTCACTTGGACATGTTTAGCATCTTGGGTTTCTTTTTTTTCACCTGTAGTAAGTGGTATCAGAACATGAAAATTTTGTGTTCTAAGCACTAGGTTAAACTAGCAATAGGCTGAATAGGTTGAACTAGCAATGGGTTTACAATAGGTTAAACTAGCTCTGATACTCTACTTCTTAGTAATATGCCAATGCTTAACATTATTAAAAAGAGCTGAAGTCCATTGACTTCAGAAACTTCAGTTAACATTCAGGACACCACCTTCCTTGATTTACCCATGTCTATGCTGAATTGTATTATGACTTGCTTTGACTTGACTGGCCCTTGTGTTTTAAAGCAGTGTTTAAGCTTTGATCATCTAAGAGCAAACTGCTGTCTTGAAAAGTTATTTAAATATTATCAGTAATGAATAAATCTGTTGCTAATATTTGATCTGTGCTGGAGAATCTACGTAAGCTTTCTGAGGCTTTTTTTATGTGACTGGTAACAGACTTTGTCCTGTAATACAGTAAAAAATATCTGAGATTTCTGATGTGGTACTACAAGCTGTAATGTTGCACTTGATTAGGACAGATGGTCTTAGCGATACTGGGATAATCCACCAAAAAAACCAACAACACTCCCCCCCCAAAAAAAAAATAAATTCCACACACCACCCCTTCATGTGTAACAAACCTTTATTTTAATACAGACTTTTGTCAGGGCATTAGTAAAATAGCTTGTGTGCTTGCAAAGTGCAAATAGTAATGTTGTGTATGTACTCTCTCTTACTTTTAAAGGGAGACCGTATGTGGCATTTTGCTGTGTCTGTATTCCTGGTTGAACTGTATGGAAACAGCTTACTCCTGACTGCAGTCTATGGACTGGTTGTGGCGGGATCAGTTCTTCTCCTGGGAGCCATTATTGGAGACTGGGTGGACAAGAACTCCAGGCTCAAAGGTTAGATGCCTAGAGCAGGTTATTTACTTAAGGATGGATCAAATTAATGTAAAAAGATAAAGCGGTTAAGAGTTAACTGCTCAAGTCAAATATGAGAATGGGGCTCACTCAGTTTTTTTTTAAGGATAGTGTTTCAGAGTGGTAATGATTATACAAAGATAGCGTCAAAGACAGGAGGAAAACATTTTTATGTCACAATATGTCCACTACTCCAGCTAAACCGGTACGATACGTAGAGATGCACAGAAATGCAGAAGGTAAAAAGCGCATAACTTTAAGGACTACAGACCAAGTTCTTCACAGTCTGATACTAACACACACTCGTGTTATTTGTTGTCTTCTGTCTAGATACAAACATCTTCCACTTAAGTGTAAACACGCACTGCATTTGCATTATACATGTTTTAAATACGTATGCTCTAGTCTGTTTTATAAATAACATGGCATCAAGTTCTTCATACACATTTTTACATTCCAAGAATTTATGAAATAGCATCACTTCCATGGTATGCTGAAGGTGAATTTTAGAGACTCAAACTTTGTCTTGTTTTCACCCCTCTAGAAATAGTATCAGCATTTAAACAGATACAGTTTGGTTTTTGATTGAGAAAAGACCTACTTGGGCTGTAAATTGTTAAGAGCTACAAAGTTACATCAGACATTAATTTGTTTCTCTAAGACAATGGAAGATTCAAAATCTTCTATGAAGTATAGCTTTACCACTTATATTTTTGGGGGGAGAATAGGGAAATAAAAATATTTAAAGAATCTGTGTATGTTCCTTGATTATAACCTCCTTAAGCTTATAGTTAGCTCATTCTTATGTTCATAACTGTTGCTTTTTGTTTTGATTTTAAAACAGTGGCCCAGACATCCTTGGTTGTACAGAATGCATCTGTCATCCTGTGTGGTATTATCCTGATGATTGTCTTCTTGTTTAAGACACAGCTTTTGACGTTATACCATGGATGGCTTCTTGTGAGTGCTTGAACTTGTTAATAAGGAATTGACTTACAAAGAAACTTGGGGGAGCGTGGCAGACAGATGAAGTTTTATTTTTCTCTCTAGACTGTTTAGACATTCCAGTGAGCTAAAACTGGTAAATGGAACTTTGAGCTAGTTGGGTAAACAGAGGTGATTGTTTTCTGTCAGGAATTGTAAAGTAGACTTGGTCTTGTTCTGTGTGAAGAATAACACTAAAATGTATGGATTCAAATGTAAAAGTGTCTTTTCTGGTTGGACAGGGTAGGAGTGGAGATCTCCCTTCATCAATTATCTCACGTTGTAACTTTTTCCCCCCATTTCTCTAGACAATGTGCTATATCCTGGTTATCACAATAGCAAATATTGCCAACTTGGCCAGCACTGCCACAGCGATCACAATTCAGAGGGACTGGATTGTTGTGGTTGCAGGGGAAGACAGAAGCAAACTGGCAGGTGAAATATGTTGCCTTTTTAATACCTTAAATGTCTTTCCAAGCTTGATTTTTAGACTAGAGTTTTACAGAGGTCAGCACATCTTTGAGTTCCAGATATTATGAGAAAACAGCAGGTAAAAAGGGCAGCCTTTATTTTACTCTTCCCTGCTCTGGACTACACTTACTGAGATTAGAAATTACTGTTGTGATTACAGTTCAGTTAGGCATCCCTAAACTTGTTTTGTCCTACTGCAGCTTTGTCAGGAAAACTTTATTCTTGCTGAACAAATAAACATATACCACACTCTTAAATCAAATAACCAGTGTTTAATAGAAAAGCTATTTAACTTCCAGGCACTTAAAGCCAAGTGTTGCAATACTTTATTTTTAGGTCCCTGGAATGAAACAGAAAACTGTTGTGTAACTGGGCTCCTCACATAGGGATCAAAGAAAGAGGTACATGAGAATGAAGTCCAGAACAGTAAAGTAGGTGGATCAGGAAATTGCTAGTAGGAAATGCTGTGCATGCATACATATTTGAAATCTTGCACTTCTCTAGCATTATATGTCTAGCTCAGAGCTGTGAATACTTTTCTTCAGTTGGAACTGAAAGCTCTGTATTCCTTTAACGTCTGATACCTTTGGTATTAGACTACAGACCTAATCTTTTTCACCTAGTAAATATTTTTCCTTTTTCCCCTTTCTTGCACAGTGGCATGGCATTATTAGGAGAGAGAATGAGTTTCCATTCAAATTCTACTGCAGTTTGGTGGTCATGACACTACTTGGATGTGGGAGATTGTTTGGGATCCTCCCCAAAGATGCATGGAACCTGACTCTCCTTTGCTGGGGGGTACTCCTAGCCTCAAGGCCATTCACCCCAAGGGATGTATGATTGATCTTTGGCTATGCTGCTGCTCTGATTCTAACAGGCAGTGTGGGAAGTAGCTTTTTTTATGATGAACTTGTGCAGGCTACGTGGGCTCTGAATCAAGCCTGTAAGGGGACTTAAGCTTTCCCAGATAGAGGAACTGATACTAAAGTTACTAAAGTAACTCTGGGACACAAGTTTTAAGTCTGACACTTGTGGAGTTTAGATACCTCCAGGCCTAGACAGCATTTCAGCTTCTGGACTCTAATTTTCTATGGGGCTGCCTAAATGGCCCATAAAGTTCAGTTTACATGCCAGAGTCCTTTTAGGGATTTCAATCTTGTATTGCAGATTTATTCTTGATGTTTATCTCCAATGAAGGAATCTTATTTCCCCATCTCATCCAGCAGAGGCTAGCTCTTAATTAGATGCATTAAAAGTGTCTTGCTTTCATTTCCCAGTATACAAATTTTCCACTGAAGTCTTTTATTTTGACCTTGCAGTGCCTTTCTAGGTCATGCCTTTTGTAGAGAAGTACAGGATAACATTCTTTATGCATGTGAATCACAAGTAGAAAAATATCATCTATCTGTAAAAGCCTTAAAGTTCTAATGGTTCTCATTAACGTTTCTTGTGTCAGATCTTATTCAGCAAATCATCTCCCTGATCCCTGTACTATTTGCTACACATGACATAATGTACAGACCACACCTGCAGAGAACTGCTGCATGGGAGGCAGTCCTGCCTCTGTTCTGCTTCATGATCTCAGACAGAATTATATGACCACTTATATTCTGTACTGAAAAATCAGGCAAGAAGTTACTCTAAATTTTCATGCAACTTAAATTGAAAACAAAACACTGAACTAAGCACCTTAGTTCAACAGATCTATCTAAAGGATCTCTTCCAGGCTGAATAGAGTTATGTGTTCAATCATAATGTAATTTGGAGACTGTTGAAATTCCTTAACTTAAATTAAATGCCAGCATTGACTTGGCAGCAAATACTGCTGTCCATCTCTGCACTGTTACCTTTCCTCAAAGAGGAGCCTTAGTTAAGTGAGTGGAATAGGGAAATAAATTGCCTTGGCTGCTTCTTCATTGTCCTTGATTAATTTTTCCATTCAGTCCTTGTACCTTTCCTGAGTGGAAATATTAGCCTTCCTCAAATAAGTCAAAAAAAACAAAGCTTAGTTCTTGGAATTTTTAAAGCCAAATATCATGCAAGTATCTAACTTACTCATCAGTCAAATAGTTAACATTGAATTGACTTTGAATTCTAAATAGAATAACCTAAACACTTCTTTGAATGGCAAGGAGTAATTCTCTGCAGATTCAGAAAAACAGCTTCATACTGGTATACCATTTCACTTGCCCTTCAAAAGCTCTAATTTCATAATAGGACTCTAAAATGGGTTTGAGATGTACTTCTAAGCAGCCTGAACCCCTGATGTGCAAAACCATTGAGCATCTAGCAACTTTTAGGGGTGGAACAATGGCACCATTAATTGGAAACTTAGAGGAGCCCAGAGGGTGTAATGACACTAAAGCTGGTAAGATTGGGGAGGGTGAGACATCCCCTGCCAGCAAATGGAAGATGCATTCATGCTAAGAATGGGTTCCTCGGTTTTTCTGGAAACATCAAAGTGTGGAACAGAAAGGAGTGAGGACTTTGCTCAGTAAGTTCTGAGAATGTTTGATGGCAGTTGTAGGCAATCTGACTCAATAAGGAAATTTAAAGCCATTTCAAATGTCTGCTGCTATCATGGTGGGTACTGTGGTCACCAGTTATTAGAAGTAAATGGAGGAGATTAAGAAATACAGGGTCCAGTATTGGGAGATGGTAGTTGCTAAACTTACCTTTACAAGAATTAATTCTACCATATGAGATTCCTCTTAATGTCTAGAGTTGTGCATGCTGGGTTTGAATGTTACAGAGATAGGCTTAGGAGTCCATAGTGTCACTAGGATGTAAGGGTAATCTGATCTCATGACTAATAGTTTCACCTGCAGGAGTACATTTTACATGCTGTAAACCCAGCATGCGAAACCTGAAAGACCTCATGCAGGCACAACTGGCAGGAGTAAGGATTTGGCTTACAGGCACCTTGGTTGGTCCCAATAAACTTAAACATTGGAACACTCTAAAGGTGCCTGTAGCAGTCTAACTCCTGCTGAAACCACTTACAGTTGGAGCAAGACTTCTTAGCTTGATGTGTATACATGTCCAATCCCTAATTATGTTGGTGCATATTTCACTAAGTGTTCAGCAATTATTTCATATCATCAAATCATTTCTGACAGATATGAATGCCACAATAAGAAGAATTGATCAGTTGACCAATATCTTGGCTCCAATGGCAGTTGGTCAGATAATGACATTTGGCTCCCCGATGATTGGCTGCGGATTCATTTCTGGCTGGAACCTGATGTCGATGTGTGTGGAATATCTGCTGCTCTGGAAGGTTTATCAGAAAACTCCTACTCTAGCTGTCAAATCTGCAAAAGTTGAAGAATCGGAACTGAAACAGCTGAACATAAAGAAAGGTATTGAAAATGCAAAAGTAACTGTTCAAATTCACAGTATATTCACTGCATTAGTCAAACTGAAGTGTTGACTTTTGTCTTCTACAGACACTGCTTTTAGGCTATATAGCTTTCTACTCATAGCTTGAAGGTTTTGGGGTTTGGATATAGGTATCAGACTCTAATCTAAGAAACAATATTTTGTGCAGCTATTTGAGAGATCTCATAAAATGCAGCCAAAGAATGAATTCTTTCCTCTTAATTAATCCTTTAGAGTCAAGTCTGCCCTGTTATTAAGGGCTGATTGTGAGGAATGCTCCTGTCCTTTACCATAGCTAATTAGTTGACAAAACCTTTCACTCTCTAGTGTCTACAAGCAAAACAGCCTGTGTAGGACTCTTTTCTTGCAAAGTCAACTCTACTTTTGCGTAGTACTAACAGGCTTTCAGGAGGCTGTAGAATAGGTGGTAATATTTCTAGTCTGGCATGCTTCAATGAGTTCCATATGCTGCAGGAAATGGTGGAGGAAAAAAAAAAACTTACTTTGGCCTTCTTCTCTGCTTCCTTGGCCAAGCTGAACAACTCGGATTTGCAGTGTAGATGGCTATGACTAATAATAAATTTTAAGGTTGTTTATAACATTACTTTAGATAGTCTTAATGTCAGAAATTAAAATTGTTTCAGAAGCAGGCTTTTTGTTATGAGGTATTTGACATGTCAGATACTGGAATACAAAACTTAAGCATTTTCCCATTTTCAAGACAGCAGTATGTGAATACTCTTGAAAGCTCAAGCTATGGGCTCCCAGCTACAACATGCTGTGTGGTTTTCTTTAAAGAAAGAAGATAAAGAATTCCTGTTTTTTCTTTAAAAGCTAGCTAGCAGTCTGTTCTTTGCTCAATATATAGTGAGATAGGAGGCTGCTGTTAAAAGTGCTGAAGAGACATCTTCCCAGCCAGCAGATCCATTGTGGTAATGTCTGGTCCAGTAACCTGTTGGACTAGGCTGCTAGTCCCCTAGGATAGGGGAGCAAGATAAAGAGCGTAGAAGGCTCTATAGCTTTGGAACTGGCTTTTGAATGCTCCTGAAGAATGAAGCGTTTAGGAAATGTCAATATGTAGGAAACATCTCTTAATATTTGCTATTGCAGTATTCTGATTTCTATAGAAGACTTGAATTTTTAAAAGTTGCAGAAATACTTCATGTGTCTCACTTGCTGTATGTGGAGTTTGTTTCAAACTTGACAGCGTGAAAACACTGCTCGGGCATCCAAGCATTTGTATAGTTTCTGTCCACGTTACTAATTTAAATACTGCTGTGGGTTTTTTGGATTGTTGTTTATGACCAGTGGAAGTGCCTTTCTTCTATATTAGAGTGAAAATGGAATTGTAGAAAAGCAAGGTCTTAGGTTTTTTTTTTTTGAAGTCAAGTTTTGAAAGCTTTTAGCTTTGGTAGGCTTCAGCAAGCATCTCTGCCTTGGTTCTTCTGCCATGACATGAGAGATTGACAGCTGTTTAAGTATTCCCTGCTTTCTGTGGTTAGTGCATTTAAACATACAAAGCTATGTTAAAATGCCAACTAACATTGGCATTCATTAAGCAAATAATCTCCTTATGGAAATGGAGCATTCGGTCACAAGTCTATTGAAAAGAAGCAGAATACGCTTTCTCCTACCACAGCTTAATTACATAAGTAGGAGTTTAAATTGATAGGCATAAACTTCACTTGATCTTACTATGCAGGTGGGATTTAAGGACACTTTAAAACATTTATGTAATCAGAGGAAGGTTGGTTGCAGAATTTAACTGATGGACTTCTGCAGCAGTGAACTTCCTAACTGCAAACAATTGCCTTTCAGTTTACACTCTGCACTGTGCAGGCAGGAGTGTATCTAACAGTTACATTTCTGTTCACAGAGAGTGACATGAAACCTGCTGAAGGAGTGCAGTTAATTGTTGAAAAAGATGTAACTGGCTTTGAGCCCCAACAGGAGAAGGAAGTCAGCTGCACTGCCCGGATTGCTGAACCTTTCATCACGTTTCGTGATGGATGGGTTGCGTACTACAACCAGCCAGTGTTTCTTGCAGGCATGGGTCTTGCATTTCTGTATATGACTGTTCTGGGCTTTGATTGTATTACTACAGGCTATGCATACACTCAGGGTTTGAGTGGCTCTGTGCTAAGCCTCCTGATGGGTGCCTCAGCAGTCACTGGAATCATGGGAACAGTAGCTTTCACTTGGCTTCGTCACAAATGTGGCCTGGTTCGCACGGGCCTCATTTCTGGAGTTGCTCAATTTGCTTGCCTGGTCTTGTGTGCTATCTCTGTATTCATGCCTGGAAGTCCTCTGGATTTGACTGTTTCCCCATTTGCTGACATCAGTGCCAGGCTGTTTGAAAGTGAACCATTACCTACTATAGCATCTCCAGAAGATAAGCCTGAAATGGTTTTTGCAACTGGAATGCCCAACGTGTTAAACGGGTCTACTACTCCTGCTAACAGCGACCCAGAGATGAGTCCTGAGCCTGTGCCTTTAATCTCTGTTAGTCTCCTGTTTGCAGGAGTCATTGCTGCTAGAGTTGGTAAGTATTACGTCTTTAAAATCTGATCTATTGACTGCTTTTAATTCTAGAAATTACAGTGCCTGTCAACTAAGTACAAATTTGAGTTTAGAATTGTAGGCTACAGTTGAAGTGTTATATCACATTTCTAAGGCATTACACTTCACATAAAAATGAAATGATCTTGCAATAGTATCAGCAGTGCAGAGACTGCAGTACTAATTTCTTGCCTATCATATCTCACTAATAGGAGGAAAGTTAGCACATTTGGAGATGAATGTAACTTGTTTTTTGGAATGCTCATCTCTAAATGATCTTCTTTCACAACCAAATAAAACCATTTGTTAATAGGAAACACATCTACTATGAAAACCTTCAAACTTAGTGGTTCACTAAATTAATCCATTCATTAAATAGTCTGACCTTTAAACTTCTGACCAGCAAAGGGGTTTAGAACAGAAACGTTGATTTGGATGACAGCTTAATTTTTTGAGGAATTGCTGGTTAGTGTAGTATTAGTATCTGTCAACAGAAGAGGCAGTCAAATACCTAACTGTAATGAACAGTAATTCTCATCTGTAGAATTTTTGTGCTCTTTCTGCAGCTTTTGCTGAATTTTGGAGGAAGAAAATACTTGATTCACATGTATTAATGATTGTTTTAAAAGTTTATCTTGCAAACAAACTTAATAGACTAAAACAGCATAGAAGCCAGTGTCAACTGAGACTGTTGTAACTTACTATGTATTCTGCATAGTTTAAAATGCGTTTGATTTTTTTGCAAACATCTTATGCAAAACTTAGCAATTGTAGCTAGCATGAATACACTGTAAATAGCTGTAAAACAGCTATTTAAGTAAGGAACAGATGAGCAAAACATTGTTAACTTGATAGACATGTTGAAGCAAGATGTGACAGGCAAGTTAATGTGTCAAGCTGTATGTATTATTTCAGGAAATATTAGTAAAGGGAAAGTAAATTGCTCTTGACTGTCAGTGTGAAATCCATTCTAGTCTGACAAGAGGCTAGTTTGTCTTGCACATCTTTGGCAGAAGTGAGTGTTTGCAAGTATGAATTGAATTGTGCCAGTAATGAAAGCTTACCATGAGAAGACCTGTTGTATGGATAACTGTTTTTTCTCCCTGTAGGCCTTTGGTCCTTTGATTTGACTGTCACACAGTTGCTCCAAGAAAACGTCGTAGAATCGGAAAGAGGCATCATAAATGGTGTCCAAAACTCCATGAATTATCTTCTTGATTTGCTGCACTTCATCATGGTCATCTTGGCCCCAAACCCTGAAGCTTTTGGCTTATTGGTGCTTATTTCTGTGTCTTTTGTTGCAATGGGCCACATAATGTACTTCAGATTTGCCCAAAAAAGCTTGGGAAAACAACTTTTTGTTTGTTGCACTCCTGATCCCAAAGCAGTCTCTGACAGTTTACCACCTGGTAATACATCTACTGTCTGAAAGGATCCACTTCTCTTACTAACTTGCTACACAAATGTCATGGTTAAACACATATACTGCCTTTTGTGACACTGTGTAAGGTGTTTCTCTAGAGTTGAACGCATAACTTAGCTGTTTGAGGAAGCTGTCCCAAGAGAGCTAAAATTCATCTTACAGTGACCCTGTAAAAATGTTTCATGTTTGGCAGAGGACCACCTAGTTGGATCTTGACAACTGGTGTTTAAAAGGATCCCCACAAGTCATACATCTAGTATTTGATCACAAAAATAATGTTGAATTTCTGTCACTGACTCCCACAGTGATACTGTTCAGTGGTTATACATACTCAACTTGTTCATGAATTCTGAACAATTCTTGTGCTCATTGAGCAAAATGAGGGTTTTTTAGTTGCTTCAGGATGACTTGATATACAGTATTTAGTTTTGTGGGTTTTTTCTGTTTTTTTCCCTTACTATGAACAGTTCTGCTCCCCTATCTTCTCAAATCTGTATAAATATCCTTCTTGGATTCCTGAAGTGGACTCTTAAGTTCCGATGTTTTTCCAAAATACCTTTTTAGTATTCTATCTGTTTTGGTTTAACTTTACAGAAACACCTTTGTAGTTTTTTTGCATGTTTCCTTACAAATTAGACAAGTGCTAGGTACAAGATATTGTATTACACTTTTGTTGCACTTCATAAAGTAAAACATAGTCTCATTTTAGCAGAAGCTATTGATGTAACATTATAAAGCATGGCTTTTTTAATTGCAAATGACAGGTCTGCTCAGGTTTGATGTAGCAGAAAGTGCTAAGGTCAGTAGTACTGGTACAGAAAGATAAAGTGTAGGGCTAACAGTTTTTGCCTCCAAGTACAAGCAGCTTTAGTTTATTTTCAAATGCTGTTGTTTTCAGAAACCCTATTAAGGCCTGACATACTGGAAAATTATTAGTATTCCAGGCAAAAGAAGTCAAAAAGTGGATTACTTGCGTTTATCTGCTTTACATGTATGTGAGTTTTGACTTAGTTTGTTCTAAAATAGTGCTAAAACAATGAGATGTTGGACTGTGTGGCCCTCTAAAGCAACTTCAGAGCAATGAAGAATGATACAGCCCTCTGATTTTTTTCAAGAAGTTCTTGCGTTTTTTTTAACCCTGCACGTGTACTAACACAGTACTTCCATAGTCATTAACCGTACGTGCACTTTTGTGGAAATGACTCTACGCACTTTGCTTTCTCAGTAGAGTTGAACCCGGTAGTGTTTTTGAGTTTTCCTGTGGCATGACAGTATGACTTCTAGACTTAAATCTTTTGTAAAATGTTTGTTTGCAAAATTAGTGTGCAAAAACATATGTCAGCAACTTGTGAAAAGTATCGTCTATAACTTTTAAGGTTTTTTTATTTTAGGTACTGTCCTTCACAGTCATCTGTGTTACCACACTTCAACCCTGGAATGTAAGTGTGTGAACTCCATTGACATTAAAGGCGTTACACCAGGGCTGAATCTAGGCCAGCCATCTTAAAATTTGTAATGATTATATTGTATATCAAACTAAATAGAATGTAAAAAACCTCTAGTGGCTTTTGTCTCAGATACAATATTTTGTAAGAGGAGTGAAAGTGAATGAATGGGAATCCAATGTACAACCAATGTACTTGTAGCCCTCTATTCAATAACTGGATGCAACAATTCTTCTCTAATGGACCAAAACTAATCATTACTGCTATGTTACTGAAAGTTTCTCAGGGATGTTTTCACTAGGTTTATAAGTGTTTATACTTTGACCAAGCTTTTGGGTTTTGTTTTGATACAATAAAGTAAAATATGTAAATTAGAGTAGTTTTAAAATTTGTGACTCAATCCTGAGTGAACCTCTTAAGGAAAAGGGAATTTTGCCATCAGCAGAATTTAAAAGTCAGAAGACAATAAAACAAGCTTATCTAGATTTATAGGATAAATATGCCCAAAGGATAGCCTATACAGTATGTGATAAGTACACTAGTAAATAAAACACCTCTGATTTGCCAAAAATGTTCTCATGTGTATCTAATCTAAATTGGGACCAGATTTTAATATTGCTGAATATAAATAAAGGTAGTCTAAATGTCAGTGAATGCCTCTATACTGCACTTTGAACATCTGAATGCCACTGTATATATTGGACTCAATATTGTTTCCCTGGCCATCAGGGAAACAAAGCTGAAAATGCAGCTTCTCGTGGGCTGTCTATAGCTTACAGAACCCAGCGTGCCTAAAGCTTAATGCTGTAGCACTAAGCACCAGACATCCCAGAGGGGATGTACTCCTGAAGTCTAGAGAAGTCCAAAAACATAACAAATAACAGAGCTGGGAGCATACCATTTTCCCATCTGAAGCCCAAAACATAACGAATAACAGAGCTGGGAGCATACCATTTTCCCATCTGTTCCCAAAGTTTTCCCCCCCCCCCCAATCCCCGAGAGCAATGTAGTTTGAGTTGAGTAGCAATTTGTTTCATAAATAGTTCCACTCCACTGTGCAGTCTGGATCTCAAACCAAATAGTCTTATTTGAGTTGAGTAGCAATTTGTTTCATAAATAGTTCCACTAGATAGTGCAGTCTGGATCTCAAACCAAAAAAAAGTAGTATTGGGAGGGGGCTGGACCTTTGTATTTTGTATGCATAATGTTGCTAGGATTCATATGTGCAGATACACAGCTGGAAGGCAAGACAATCCTAAAAGAGAAGAAAGGTGGATGCTAGCTTTAAGAGGAATAAGGAGGTCTAAATTGGGAATCTGGTATGTATTGGTCTGAGTCAGATGTCAGAAAATGTATGCTGCTTGAGCACAACCCATGTGTGTATAAGTCAAAGATACACAGACACCTGTACTGACTAGTGCTTTGAAGCAATGTGGAGCCTGAAGTCTTACTTAGCAGGACTTTCATTAAGTAAGCATTTTTGGCCTTGTATTTATTTATTATTTTAAAATGTGTCCAATTTGGATGAAAACTGCCCTTAAAATGTACGCACTAGAAATCAATCTTACCAGAATAGCATATTTTATTATACAACCTTATGCTGGACATAGTATTGATTTATGTATTACTATTGTTAAAGCTAATGAATAAATTTGCATAAAAATTTATTTGTTCTGTATTACTCAGTTTGTGGGCATCTTGGTATGCTGTATTTAACATGGATCCTGTAGATGAAGGTTTTCCATAGCAATGGGATGGAAACTGCCATGGGGCACAAACAAATAGCATTGAGGAGGAAGCAAACAACAAGTGTAGTAAAAGTCTTTCGGTGACCCTATAGCTCCGTCTTTAATGAACTGTTTTTTATTTACCATCCACAGTGGTAACGTAAGACACAATAGCTGAAGCTGTGGTCTTACAACCTCAGCCCAGGACCAGCATTGGTGATACAGCAGTTTTGTGTATGGGCTTGCTGAGCAACAGAAAGCAAATGATTTTACCTTCACAGTCATCTTTTTACCATATTGAATTTGCGATGATGGCCTTCTGTAGCAGCAACCTGTAGATGAGAACGCTAGGCATAAGAGTGGTCGCAAATAAATGTGGTACTTTTAATATTCTGGTTTTAGTCTTGAAAAGTACTTCAATTGAGTATTTTATACAGGACTGCTTCTTGTTACATGTATGTAAGATATGCTTGCTTGATGAATCGATCTTTGGAAGGGTGCTGTGGTCACTCACTAGGATTTCCCTGAACTGATTCCTCTTTGAACGAGAGGTTTTCCTAGAAAAATACCTTGATGGGTTGTCCCCAGTTATGTTATTACCATGTTATTCCCCTATGGGAATTAGAATCATTATTTGTAATAATTAGTTATTCCCATGTGGGAATTGGAATGTGGTGAGTTAAAACTACAGGCTTTGTAGCATGTATCAGAATTGGTAGCATTAGGGTAGGTGATGTGCCTCTTTAATAGGAGCTACCAAAATGTCAATGTTAAAGTCAGATTACCAACTTTCATTTTTAGGAATGTTTACTTCCTTCACTGCCACTTAAAACTTACAGAAGTGTTAGAATACTGACTTGAAAATGTAGTTACACTGATCCACCCCTGTAGATACAAAGAAAAAGAATTGTGAATGGTATTGCGTAGTACACTTAATGGATAAAGAAGACGTTTTTGACTGAAGAAGGCCCTTCACAATTTACCATTTGATGGTTTTGCTGTTCTCCTTTACTCAGGTGTTCACATTTCAGAAAGTTCCGAGTTTCCTAAGACCCTGTGGAATTCAATGCTCAGCAACCAAAGGTAGAATGATTGAAGATACCTACCACTCTTTACTTGCTTGTTGCACTACTTTGCTTACTAGGTAGTTGAGAAAGCAACCCTGCCTGTGAAAGGCAATGTATGTTGCATATTACATATTTTACTATTGTTCTCTGGAATATTTAATTGCTTGTATTTTCAAAAGTTTTCTTAAACTGAGCACTGATGATACGGGGATTGAAAATTGAATCTTGATAAAGGGAAAAAGATAGTGAACTCAGTCCCTTCAATTTAAACTATTCTCTGTTTCTTTCATGAGAAAACTAACTGGTGTGTATGTCCCAGGTTAGCAGAGCTAGCTCATTTCCTTTGTAAGCTGGCTGAGTGTTCCTTCAGTGATCACTGTCAAAGATTGCATCCTTTCACGTCAGTGTTACACGCCTTTCCTGCTGGACAGAGGCTTCTTTCAGAGCCTCCTACACAACTAGTTTTCAAAGCATATATTTAAACTCTTAATCTACAAAGGATCACAATTTGCAGGTAAAGCTTCATAAAGAAACCAAACATTTTGTAATAGAAATTAACAGGCAATTCCAGACTTTTTTAAAATAATAATTTCTACTGCTTTTTAGTATTAAAAACTAGCAGATATTACTGAGTCAATGCCAAGTCATAGGCTCTTCACAACTTTGAAACAACACAAGATTACAAGCAAACCTGAAATAATTCAGAGTAAAGATTGTTTCTGCTAGAGAAGAGTGCAATTAATAGATCTAGCATTTTTAAATCTAGCACTGAGGAGATGATAATGCTTTATCTGCCTCAAGATTGACCTATTTTCAGGTCCTCCAGGAAAATATTGTGCCTGTACTCTGCATTCATATTTTTCTCAAGTACTTAGTACTAGAGAAGCTAGTAGTAAGTATTAGAGTAATAGTCCTTATTATCTTGCCCTCTGTACTCACATGTTCTTTTTCCTGCTTGTGGGTGCTGCTAATGGCATGGTGTAATAATCACTGTAGGATTAAAAGTATTTTATTTCTGGAGTAAGACTATGCCTCTAGTTTCTGCTTTAAGTAAGACAGACTATTTTGCAACTCTGAAGGGCAGAAAAAACTGAACAAGGATGTTTGCTTAAAGGCTTGCAAAGTGCATGGACAAAGTGCACGCTGTTCAATAATGCCTTTTCAAATACTTCAGCTTGTCCTTGTGCAGGTCAGTATTTCTTTCTAGTTAAACTTTATTTCATTTGGTCACAAGAGAAGCATGCAACCATGTGCTTTCCACTCTTATTCTAGGTATAGAGTGATGGAGCAATCTGTTTTCACACATACAGAGTTAAGAGTTCTTAATCCTTTGTAAATGTACGGGAAGTTACTTGACTTACGTTTAGAAAATCTGATTATTCTCCTTTGGCAGATAAGGGAAAGAGAATGTACAGTAGATGCTGCTGTTAGAACTTCAGTAGGCATCTAAGCATAACTCATTAAGACTTAAACCCAAAACAGCAAAACACTTGTTAAAGCTGTACAGACTGGCTCAGAAAACACACCCACTTTGTTCATGGGAAGCCGTTGTCCACTTCAGTCAGGGGAAAGGCAATATACAGGATATCCACATCCCAATGACAGCATACCAGAGTCTGAAAATAAGTTCTTCCTTGAGCAGCAGCACTAACGAAGCATGGTTTTCTCTATCTACGTGTCCTCGGTCCCTACACACCCACAACTGCAATAACGGTAGCTCCTACCCATCTTGCGTAATCCTAGCTCTTCCATGAGGTCTCGCAGTGCTCCCCTCTCCCGTTTTTATCAGCAGAGCAAAGTAGAGCACATGCTCTGCCTGATCCTCAGGAGCGATGCACGTGCAACGGGCCCATGAGTGCTCAGGGACTGATTAGCCAGCTGACAGGACAAACAGCACATGAGTCTTGTGCTCATGCCAAAGGCTTTTCCCTCTGAGAAGGGAAAGAGTTTCGGGCTTCTCCTCTACCCAGCTGCTGATTCTCACTTAACTGTTAAAAGTCAATCTTTGAGACCTTTCCCTTTCATCATATTTAGATGGAATTAACCAAGTGGTTCAAAAGCTGTTTGTCAGGAAGTGATGGAGGTGACAGAGAACAGTGTGACTGCCTAAGTCCTGTGTCCTTAGAAAACTTGGGTAAAAATGTGTTATGCCTGTAATGTGATATGGCTGGATGTCTATTGCCAACAGCACATCTTAACAAACTGATAAAGTGGTCCAGAAAAAAATACGATGAAATCCAACGTAGACAAGTGCAAGGCACTACATTTGGGCAGGACCAACTGACTGCTCAAATACTGGATAGAGAACACCTATCTGTTTTTGTAGAAAAGAATTGTGAGGTTATCGCACAACAAAGGCCAAACATAAGTAACATAAAAAAATAAACGGAAACAGGTCTATAGCATGTATGAGTCATGAATTGAATTGTACAGGCTGCTGTTCTCTTTGGAATTGGGAAAAATGGAGTACTGCCTCCCATTTTTCCTTCACGTCTGTTTTGAACAGCAGTGCTAACTGGAAAGGAACTGGAAGAGTGCAACAGTTGTAATCAGAGCTCTAGGAAATGAGATGAGTGAAAGAAGTAGGGTCATTTAAAGGCTGAGAGGTGATATGCTAACAATACCTGACTGTGTAAAAGGGGATGGGAATAACGTGTAATCTTGCTTGAGAAGACAAGCATTAACCAAGTCAGATTACAGCATGCTTGAAACCCTGGAAGTTGTGGAGTTTCTAATCCTGGATATCTTCAAGGGCAGGTACCATTTTTCCAGCTCTGTTTTTCTCCAGTTGCATGTGATGTATTTCTGCAGTTCTTCCAGTTCAGTGTTTCCTCTAGAACCACTTCTGAGAGAG